GCTCTGCTTGCTGGCGTATGTATAGTATTTGATTTTTGCATTGTTTTATGCTTCTTCTTCATCTTCTTCTTTAGAATTTCTTAGTGGAATATCTAATTTTAGCACAAGCACAAGCCAAGGGCTGCTTCCATCGAGCAATTTACGCGTACGTTCATAAATGTATACGTACATACATACATACATAATATATTGTATATTTGCAAATATGTATATATATGTAAGCTGCTACTATTCTTTGGTATGCCAATATGGTCCATGTATGTATGTTTGTATATACTTAAAGTTCTGCACTTTAGACATTTAAGTGCAGTGTAAAAGCAAAAAAAAAAAAAGAAAACAACAACAATCAGTCATTGAGTAAATGCAAGTCTGCTGAGTAAAATAATATATGTATTGTATGTAGTAACCTGTATTTACGTGTAGTTTCGAAACTTTCATTGAATCAAGGTGACAGCTGAAATGACGTTCAATCACTTAGTCCATAGTTTAGACTAGAGCCAAGCTCAAAGCTGTTGTTCATGATGTGGAGACTTTTGGTTCAAAAACTTATATATGAAGAGGTTCGTAGTAAGGAGGCTAATGTTATGCTATTATTACTTATTACTCATTACCGTAGTACCAAATTTCATTCATTTAGCGGCATACTTGAAAAAGTTATAACCTGAAAATTCATTTTTGAAAAATATTTTCTATGGGAGCTATAGGTTTTTATCATCCGATCACCATGATTTTCACAAACACTTTTCTACTCTAATGCACATGCGGAATTCTGAACTTCACTAACTTGGCATTATTAGATCAGAATATATAACCTAAGATCTGATTTTTGAAAAATTAGTTGTATGGTGAATATGGGTTTCAGTTGACCGATCTCCGTTATTTTCATTATCATTATTTAGCTGCACTTGCAAAATGTCACATTTCTTCCACTGAGCAACTTTAGATTAGAATTTACGAGCTGAAAACTCGTTTTTGAATAATGAGTTGTATGGTGACTATGGGTTTTAGTGGACCGATTTGTATGAATTACGGTACGAATATATCACTTAAAATTTACTTCCAAAATACCAAATTTCATCCTCTTAGCAACTTTAAATCAGGATTTATGCGCTGAAAACTCGTTTTTGAACCAATTGCTGTATGGGAGCTAAGCGTTTTAGTGTTCCAATTTCCATGATTTTCATTACCAGCTTTTTCTTCATGATGTACATGGAGAATACCACATTTCATTTACAGATAAGCTTTAGAGTGGAATTTATAACCTAAAATCTAATTTTTGAAAAATTAGTTGTATGGTGAATATGGGTTTTACTGGACCGATCTCCGTTATTTTCACTATCAATATTTAGTTTATAATGCACTTGCAAAATGTCAAATTTCTTCCACTGAGCAACTTTAGATTAGAATTTACGTGCTGGAAACTCGTTTTTGAATAATTAGTTGTATGGTGACTATGGGTTTTAGTAGACCGATTTGTCTGAATTTCGGTACGAATATATCACTTAAAATTTACTTCCAAAATAACAAATTTCATCCTCTTAGCAACTTTAAATCAGGATTTATGCGCTGAAAACTCGTTTTTGAACCAATTGTTGTATGGGAGCTATGCGTTTTAGTGTTCCAATTTCCATGATTTTCATTACCAGCTTTTTCTTCATGATGTACATGGAGAATACCACATTTCATTTACAGATAAGCTTTAGAGTGGAATTTATAACCTAAAATCTAATTTTTGAACAATTAGTTGTATGGTGACTATGGGTTTTAGTGGACCGATTTGTATGAATTTCGGTACCACTTAGAATTTATCATTCAAATACCAAATTTCATACACTTAGCAATTTTAAATCGAATCAATTGTTGTATGTTAACTATGAGTGTTAATCAATCGTTTTTCTTGACTTTCGCTTTCAACTACCGAAAACCTGAATTTCACTCACTAGTTTGTCAGCATAAGCAAAATAACAAATTTCATTGTCACTTCGGACGATGAACGTCTAGCCTCACTTCCGAATCTACGCGCAATTTTTCAGCATATCACTGATTTGCGGCACCGTCCCGATGGAAGAAAAGGACGAGTGACCCATGACGGTTTCTATGAGCGCTGCCCAAGCCACGAGCTCAAAATTGTCCTTGACGATTTTAAAGCCACAAAATCCAGGAAATTCAGCCTCCAAGACGACCAAATGTATCAGATTTCAACAAAAGAATATTCACCAAGCCTTGTGATGTGATTGGCGGGTAACATATCTTCAGTGTTGTAGATGTGCGTACGTACCGAGGAACTTACGTCGACTCGAATGACTATTTTGCCGCCACCGCGAAACGCATCTGCCTCTGTGCTGGAAAAACGCTTGTTCACAAGCAGAAGAAAGGTTCGACGTCGAAAAGCTGCAATCACAAGAGATAACCGCACAGGTTTCTACTCGATTTGCTTTCTGAGAGCACTCATCAATTAGATATATGGAAATTTTGGGATAACATGCCAAGCTTTGTAAACACCTCCGCTATAGAAATACCGGGAAAAGAACTGGTATGTTGCGGAATACCGTGTGGTATTGGAGGAAAAAACAGTCTGCCTACCTCGAGATGTAACATTCAACCACAACACGTGAGAGATGGGAAAAATACCTAGAGCTGATGAGGGAAGCAATGCGTCTTACTTGCAGGTAAAAAAAGAAACATGTTCGAAAATTCTATGAAAAGATGCGGCAACTGACAGAGGGTTTCATGAGCAGAACATACGCATGTAAGAATCTAGGAGGTATTCTGATGACCGATACACAGGTTCAAGTCCGTATACGTAGGAATCCAGTTGATTACAATATCCAGATCTTAATTGTGCTAGTATTACTTGGTTCAGGAAGGTGTTCACGGACTCTTGATGAATGGCACTAGTTTGGTTTGAGTAGGAGCAAGAGCAAAGACAAAACTCTACAAGTCGTTCAATATTTCTGTCCTATTTTATGGTGATGTGGTAGGCCCTTGGCAAAAAGGTCTCGCACAGCAAACTTTTGCAGCCATTACAGCGGTCCGGCAGACTGTGCATAATAGGAGCGCTTGGAGGCAATAGATAGGTTAGTCAACCTACCACCAATCGACATCGCAGTCGAGAGTACTGCATCGAAATTCCGCAAGTATCTTCAGGCACAGCTCGATACAGCCCGGAACTGGCTCCTTGTGACCTTTACCTTTTTTTTCAAACTTAAAATAGGAATTACGGGAACGAAGATTTTCAGACGACTGCAGTGGGCTGAAAGTGGCAGTTAAAAATAATTTTGAAGAAAAGTCTAAGGAATATTTTTTCAATGGTATAAAGGCATTTTATACACGATGTGAAAAGTGTATTTCCCTTGAGGAAGACTAAATTGAAAGAAATTACAAGAAATTATACATTCGTTTTCTTTAGGTCCTTCAGGCCGCCTCTCGTATATGTCGATAGCCAGGCGGCCATCGCAAAGTGATGTATGAGATAATGTCCTGTAGACAGGGCGGCACATGGTAAACGGGTGCATCTATAGTGAGTTCGAGTCCCGTCAAGGGCGACACTATAGGCAATGAAATAGTTGATAAGATTCCCGAAAACACCATCCATCTTGCTAGGACAGGAAATGTAAAAGTCGCTCAAAATGATCTATAATGAAAATTCCATAGAAGCTGGATGCTTCAACAAGGACTAGAATTAGGGGCAAGTAAAACCATCTAGTAGAGTAGAGTAGAGGAAACACTCATTTCAGTTTCATATGGTCACGTAAGGACTGCAGAATAGTTGTGACGGGCCGCAACCTACTGGCAACCCAAGCGAACAGAACGGACATTAGTAGCAGTGACACATTTAGGAAGTACGGTCTTAGCTAGAAGAACTCGTCTTGAATGTCAGATGCTTTAGCTGGTCAGTATAAACTAAGTTATCCTTTTGATGAAGAGATTCAGGGAGGACAACAACATGCGATGATTTGGCACTAGTAGTTTTTTTGGCCTTAATTAGCACCGCACGGGGAGGTATATTAGCGCACTCTTGTTGAGTACCTGTGCCATTAAATGAAAAGAAGATTTGAAACAAAAAAAATCAATTTCGAGATTTCGATAGCAATTTTTTAGCTCGATAATGAAATTTTTTACGCTCTAATTTTGGCTGATTAACTAATTTTTCTATTCCCGATTTCTCGCTATCCACTGTTGTTTTAATCAAAAGCACACAGCAAATTACTACTCAGCCCAGGCCAATCAATTAATCACATAATTTCTCACACTCTGGAATATTTTTCGAATTTATCGAATTTTTCATTATTAACTCGATGTTGCCGATTTTGTGTGTGCTTTATTTTCCATTTTGCAACATTTTTTTCTTTTGTTTACTTTTTTTTTCACTTTTTGCACAAATTGTTTGCCAAACCTTTTATTTTTTTTTTTTGCAAGCGGATAGAGTATTTATTGTATAGTTTGCCCACACTTGCTAGCTGGTCCTGCTCTCTCACGCGCTCACCATCACGTTTCCTCTCGCTAACGCTCTGTTTAACCCTTTGACGCTTTAATGGGGATTTCTGCAAAACACGCTCACTTTTTTTCGTCACATACTCGTACATACCTATCAACGTATGCAAGTGCAAGCCGCTAGGCAATATCTGACGCGGATGACGCGTACGACAGTTACAACAACACGACAGTGAACATTATGAAGACGTTGAAGGCCAGCGCGGTCTAAAAGAAATCAAACGCTCTGACATAACCGTCAAGGGAGCGGGGAAGGGGTATGGAAAAAATTTCGTCGTCTACAGACGCGTCGAGTTTTCGACCGGATGAATTGGTTGAATGTAAAATAGATAGGAATATGAGTGAAATCCAGCGTACAACCAGACCAGACTGGAGGCACACATACAAACGAGACATGCGAGTATTTGTCGAAAAACTCAAAAAATTAAAAAAAAAAAAAAATTAAAATGTTTGTGTCTCTATGTAAAAAGTCTGTCTTGCCACAAGCTCATAGTACACCAACTTACACTTACTTCGGTACTGCTATTGCCGGCGTCGCTGCTATCTCTGCTGTTGTTGCTGGTGGTGTCTGCCTGTCGTAGTAGGTACTCGTATATATGGCTGTAATTGTGTGTCTATGGCACTGCTGCAAATAGTGACCTTAGAAGTTGGATGTCTTCCAAAGGAAAAGAGTTGCGGTCGAATTTGTGGCACTAGTAGTGACTCCGTGTTCCTTGCGTTTCTTATGGCTTATGGCTGTGCGGTTCTTTTATGGCACTACACTGACGTCGAAAATAAATGCCTGGACTTGGCTGACACTCGCGTTATGGTCGGTCTATACATACTCATACGAACACATGGAGATACATACATCAATATATATGTATATACTTGCAGACACACGCGATACCACGACGTAAACTGATGGAAGAGACCAACGCGGCGTATAGAAAAATCACTATTTCACAGTCTTTTACAAACACTTCACTTCGAATGAACACACACACATACACACACACACGCACATACACTTACACGCCCAGCCTGGGCTAGCCAAGTGGCATGTACTTTGGATTAATGAATTTTTCTTTTTGATTTTTTTTTAATTTCCTACAAGCAAAGCTCACTTATGTACATACATACTTTTGCATGTATGTATGTAGGTATGTATGTATTGTAGTAAATAGTGAAAATGTGGAGGCAGCAATTCGAATGCTTTAGCAATCGCTGCGCTGCGTTGTGTGCCCTGTTGAAGCTGCAAAAGGGAACTGAAACCGAAATCGAAATTGAAACTGAATAACGATTTGTCTTTACAGCAGCAGCAGCAGCAGCAGCGCAAGCAGCAGAAAGCAGGCAACAAAAACAAAGAATTCCACAAATACGAAGTGGGAGAAGGAAGGTGTCGGCGCGGTGGAGCAGGCGCTACACTATAGAGCTCAGAGCTCAGCGAGTTGGAAAGCACGCTGGGCACTGTGTAAGAGCGCTGACTGGCCGCAGCAGTTGTGACAAGAAGAGGTGACTAACAATGGCATAGAAGAACAACAAATCATAAGGTGAGAGGAGCTTGCAGACAGAAGAAGCAGAAGTAGATAAAGAACTTGCAGCCGTAGTGTATACACTTAAATTTATTAACTTTATATACATATATACATACATATATACTGCATGTATGTGTGTTATATACGCTCAAATACTACTCTTTTCTGTAGTACACACAACAGCCGACGCGGCACTTTGTTGCTGTTTGTGTAGCTGCCATGGCGCATCGGTTGCACGCGCTGCTCCACCAAGCGAATGAATGGTCTCCATGCATGTCAAACAGGCACAACAACAGCGACAAGAAATCTGTAAGTTGTTGTTGTTAATAGTGATGTTGCGCGTAAAAGTGAATTACGAGTGCAGCATGGCGTCACCTTTCTTTGACGTTGCGCAGTGAGTGGAGAATTTGTATATATTGTAGTGGCTCACGCTCCGGCCTTCGATGAGCACGTGAGTGGGAAGCGAGAGAGAGAGAGAGAGAGCTGTGGTTGGCTGAGAAAAAGTTTCCTTGTGCAAAAATATGCATTCAGCGAAGAGGTTGCCAGATTGCTTACAATCTTTTTCTTGGTGTATAAATTGACACTTTTGTGTATGCACCCCAGATGCTCAACTTTTCCATCTGGACAGACGAGACTAAAATAAAACCCTACAGCACAGAGCTCTTCATCAAAATAAAGTGACCGGCCTGCCTGCACAGCAGTGCACTATTGGTTTTACGCTTATGACGATGTTATTGATACCATTTGCCGTTGCCGGTAAAAGAGAACAGAGAAAGTATATGGTGTCTACGATCAGTGTTCTGTGGATCTCATTTTGTTGTGAACTGACGTTCATATGTGCATAGAGATGGTATTACTGACAGTGGACTTATTAATCCATTATTATTGCATATAGAGAAAGTCCTCTTTCGACCGAAACAACGCGATCATTTTATCCTTGCTCTTAAAAGGTGCAGAAGTACGGGTAATGTCACGGACGACTATAGCCGAGCTTGTAGTGTTCGTACAAAGTCACAATGCTCTGCACCGGATATGGCTCATGTGTGGACCCCAAAGAAGAATGCGTTCGAAACGTAAGCCGATTGTGGACGACGAAAGCGGTGATCAATATTCCGATGGAAGAATTAAGTTGAAGAGAATCTTTCAACGTTTGGTGTTACGCCCTGTGAATCACAGGCGCCTGGAAAGAACTGTTTCTGCTGAATTGAATTCGATTACATGCTTGCTGCTTACTTATGGACGGATATTAGATTTGAGCATGCAAATCTTTAGGTCAGGTAAATTGTTGAACAAATAATTTCCGTGGTCCTAACATCAACTCTATCTTCACGAGTATGACAATAGCAGTTTCATAGACGAGTGGATAGCAGTGCATGCTCTTATGCGTGAAGGCGGTCATCTCTCGACCGGGAACGATAAACCATCCGAGAAATTTTTTTTTTAATACAATAATATTTTTCGCAAAGAAGAATAAGTTATAAATATTTAAATTGTTTAGATAATTATTTTATCTCTTACCGACAACTATCGAGTGTCCTTCTAACGAAAAAGATACATTGGCTTTATATAAAATTGGGCATCACAATAATTGATAATTAACAAGAATGACTCGAATGGGCAACATAAAACGTGAGAAGGGTTTCAGAAATACTATAATTTGACCACGTGGTTTATGGAGGCTCCCAAAATGAAGGCATGAGCCGTCTAGAAGATATCTCCTCATCACTGTGGGAGTCTCTTAGACTGCTTTAATATTTTTCTTGTCTGGATAATGCGTTCTTCATATTTGGTCTGGTAAGGTTGCGTAATGTCTGTTTAGTTCATGAAGTGGTTGAGAATTGTCTCGATTTTTTTTTTTTTTTTTCAAATTGTCTGGAGTATGATATTGTCTGTCTCATTATGAAAAGATTATACAACAAAACATCTATCCAATCCTAATTTTTGCCTCTGACTATTTAAATAATTTTACTGTTTACGTTGATGACTGTATCAGCCGTAGAAATACACGGCGTCTATCGGTATGCCTGTAAATTGACGCTGATTAGTACCAAAAGTTCTCTGTTAGATACCAAACGGTGTTTCAGATGGGGAGATTGATTTTATGATTGCCTTTTTTTGAATTTAACTTACTTGTTTTTGACTTTTGTGAATCTAAACACAAACACAAATATATCTGAATTTAAAAAAAATAAACGATTATAATAAATTAATCTTTTCTTTCTCTAATATATCCCATAGGGCTTGTCGAGTACGCGCGATTGCAGCCGTTAAAAATGACCTAGCGCTCGCTTGAAGCTTAATGATAATGTCAGCCTTGAAAATTAACACAGCTTTTCGAAATGTTAATGGTCTTTTGTGTGTTGGCAATGGCAAGTAATGCAACCGATGGAATGACGAGCTGTACGAGTTATTCGATGATCTTGGCATAGCTCAACGAGTAAAAAAAAAAACAGCTGCCACGCTGGCTAGGTCAACTCACTGTTCTTAGTTTGATTATCATTAATACTGAAAAAAAAAATTTAATCATATCAAGAACGAAGTAAGAATCCTCTCCGAATTTTGATATTACTCTATATAAGTTCCGTATATATATATTTGGTGCTTTATAAACGCCGAAGCATTTTGTTGCCGAATTCCTCTGCGGAGGGACATACACTTTATGCTGGGCTATCATGACAGTGAAACCCTAAGTTCTATATTATATTAAATTTGTAAACAAAGCTTTCGAAGGCATTTCGTGTGTATCTCAACTACAAATCATTTCATTGAAAGAGAAAAATCTGGCAAGCTCAGTTAGTATGCGCACAGAGAGAGCTAGATATTTTTAATAATACCATCAGTTATGCATATGTGAGCACGGTGAGAGCGCCACCCACTCGCCACCAGCTTACGACAGGCCACGCAGAGATGGAGATGGAGATGGAGAACGGCAGCAGACAGGCCTACACGCACTCTCTCTACGGTTTCCACGTAGCTTACACTCATTTATATACCAAAACCTCATTGTATATAATAAACATAAGTGTAAGTAAATATTTATGTATATACACATACATATGTATGTATGTACGTGCCCACACACTTGATTGCTCAGCCGTTTCATTAAAGTGCTACGCTGCTAATGGTGATGGCGATGACAAAGACAAAAATTGTAAAGACGTTGGTTGACAAGTGAAGAGCAGTTCAAGCGCACACAAAAAAGGGTTGACAAAAACAAATAAAATATAGAATTCAATAATATAAGCACTCATATAAGCACAAGCAGCGCGTAGTGAATAATAATTTTAAAACTTCATAGCGCTGACAAATACACAACTGGAAAAAGTACATAGAAAAATAGGAAAAGTATTTTAATAAAATAAGAAAATAAATGAGGCGCAGAAAAATAAGTAGCGGAGGTCGCGACGTTAACGAAAATGACAAAAAGCGGAAGATGCAGATAAAGGTAAAACATAACGTCAAAAGAAGGAAATGCTACATACATACATACATAGATAAGAGCACAAAGAAAGAGCATGAGCCGCCTACTGCGCGCACAAAACCTTCCGCGTCGCGCTGAGCGCTGCTGCTGTTTAATTGCTTGGTAAAAAATTACTCCAAAGTATATGCTTACTAGTTTTTTCATTGCTTTCTTGTGCATCTCTATACATGTGTATATGTTAAGAAATGCGCGCTTGTTAGCAAGTACTTTTAACAACTTCTAAATGAGCGCTGCTAGTAAAATAAAAGATTTGTGCGCTGCAATTATGGTTTGATATGTGTGTTAGAGCATCGCGCTTTGTTATATGAAGTTAAAGAATACTAACTTTTGCCATAATAAAAGTTAGTTATAAAGTTGCGCGCTCAGTTTTGCCATAACGCTGTAGGCGCGTAATTATATTTTACTAGCGCATGTTGTAAAACAGCAAGCGCGCTTTAGCTAGCTAGGTTAAAATGTGGGGATAAAGAAAAACAGCGTTGAGCGAAAAAAACACTGGATTTTGCTTTTACTTACTATAAAAACAACTGCATTGTTTAACGAGTGCAGAGTGCCACCTGACGCAGTACAGCGCGCTCTCTATAAATGTCTGATTGCTTAGTTTATGCCTATTACTTACCTAACGCTAGCTTTGCGCGTTACTACGCTGCTGCGCTGTGTTGTTGAAGTCCACCCGCTGATGCTTAGCTGTTTATCTGTTGGTTTTCTTACACTTCTTTGTGGTACTTTGCTACCTTTTCTTATGGTTGTAGTGATTGCCTTTTTATTTTTATACTTTTCAACCACTTCTATGTAGTTTACGCTGCAAACGCGGCCTGCGCCTCCAACGTTCTTCCGTTTTTATTTTAGTTTTTGTTATTCTTATTGAAATATATATATTTTTTTTATTGTAATAACTGCATTAAGATTACACTTTTACACTTTTATTTCAAAATTTTAAGGATTTTTTGACAATATTTTGTTTTATTTTTTATTTTGTGCTATTTTTTCTTTGCAGCGCAACTCCTTGACGCACCTCACACACGTTTCACGAAAATACCAATGTTTTTTGTAGCACACTCACACATATAAACATATATATATATATACATATGTATACAATCACTCTCTATTAGCCAGCTTTGTGGAACCTTCTTCCGCCTTCACTAGAGTGGCACTAACATGAGCGCTTTTATGTCGCGGCTGCTGTGGCTCACTCTGTGTATATTTACGTAGCTATGCCTGACGCTCGCGCTACTATATACTACGCTTACTACTGCACGTAAAAAAGCTAGCGTTGTCGTTGTTATTGTCAGCGCGCTTGTCGTAATTCTTGTTTGAATTTTATTTATTTAATTCTTTTTTTTTTTTTTGGTTTTGTTTTCCAAATTTTGCCTCTTCAACAAACAAGCCTTCTCTGTTCGTTGTGGTACCTACTATAAGCGTAGCGTAGCGTAGTAGGTACTTCTGCTTGTTTGACTGCTTTTTAGATTTTGGTTTCGTCTACGAAGAGCCTCCCCCCTTCTCGCTGCTAGCGCTTTTATTGTTTTACTCTTTTGTATCTTTTGCACTAAAAACATTCAAGCGCTCAGCGATACTTTAACGCCTACGGGCCGAATTAATGTATGCACACACACACATATACATATGTATATAAATGCTTGTGAAAAGTGTTCGCGTGACTGCGGAAATACTTGTTTTTGTCAGCGGGCCCTTTTGTTGTTTGTTATTTATTCTTTTTTGATTTGTTTTCTTTTTTTCCAGTTTATAAGCGCGCGCGGACGGTGCGCTGACGTAAACCGCTAAATATGGCAGAATTTATTTGCAAGAATTGTATTATTCTGTTTTATTTAATTTTTTATTTTTTTATTTTTTACAAGCACGATTCGTGTAGTAAAATAACGAACTGCTGCAGTTTTATATTCGCCGATGATGACTGACAGCGAAATCGAAGATTAAACAGCGACCGTATTTGGTGGAGATTTTTGTACCAGCCAAAGCATAGGCAGAAGACACAACAACAGACTCAGCTAAATTTTTTTTGTAGAAGAGCAGTGTAGCAAAAAGCGGAAGAAAAAATTTAAAGCAAATAGCGTAGAGAGCAAGCAAAGTAAGCAAGCAGCAGTGAGCAAATTGGAGCTTTTGTAGTCAGCGCGCTCTCATGCGCTGCGCAATGCAACGCAACGCGCATGGCGTCTAAGCAGACAATTGAGCAGAGAACTTATAATAAGTAATAAATAACAGCGAAAAGTTCTCTGGTTGAGTAGTACAGGATTTTTCTGTAATTTTTTGGCTGAAATAAGCCAAAGAAAGTAAAAAAAAATGAAAATTTCACGCTTTTAATTGTAAAATTACGTTAGCAGCGTTCAGCGCGTGCTTTCTGCCAGCACTCGTTAACAGCACTGTGTGCGCTCTCCAGACGCTCAGCTCATAATCTACTATTGACGTCCGCAACACTTTGGGAACGGCTAAAAAATGTGTAAACTAAAAAATATTTGGCCTGTGGTTGCGTCCGCAATGCTGAGCATATTTTTAGCAATAACTTTTACTCTTAATATACCCAGTTATAGCAGAGGCGCCCAGTACGAAGTGTCATATTAAAAAAAAACTGTTTAGAAATTAGCTCAGTTCACTGAGAAACGTCAATAAGAATTAGCCAGTAATGGCATGTCAAAGTTGCGCTCTCTCAGTGCAAATTATACTGGCTCTTTGCATCAGTAAAATCCAGTAACAATTCTTAGTGTAAATCAGATCACCGAGCAGAACATCGACTGTCTAAATGACGGTGGTAAGTAGCCGACCCGATGGCTCGAACTTTATTTGTTGAAAAATAAAAGGAAAAATAAAGTTTTCTGATTGCGATTGCCAACCAGGCTTTGTTGCTTGGTGTTCCGAAGTAAAAATTTTCCTTTTCGGCAATAGTTGCCAATTTTTTTTGTAAGATACCGCCAGTGCTGTTAAGAGAGTTTAGGCCCATAACAACTCATCGAAAAGACCTGCAGCTTGGCACCACCTCTTCACATGCCACCTCAAACCGACACATCTAACCCCGCTCTTCCTTTGGTCCAATCCCGTCGAAACAGCTCCTTCCGGGACCTCCCATTAGATGACCTCGGCGACTTAGATTAGTGCAACCTATACCTAAGCGAGGTTGGCGAACCGCTACAACAACAACCTGCAGCTTGGAGTGTGTTATGTGTATATAAGAGTCATCTGAAACTGAATTTTTCCGGGAACATGATCTGGGAATGATCTATTTTAAAAAAATCGTATCTTATATAGGTAATAGTTTATCATTATAATAAGTGAGATAGCTCAAAATTAAAATCAAAATAAAAATTCTTATAAGAATCATTTAAAATTCCATGCAAACGAAGTCGCAGGTAAAATCTAGTTCTTTATAAATCAGCTCGTGATTTATTTATTACTGTTCGCCCTTTAATTGAATGAAAATTACTTTTTTCTTTAACGCATAATAAAAGCATCCCACTGGAATTTTTGAAATGCTAGAGCTTTCAAACAATGAAAATTAACAGCCAAACTGCAAATAACAGTTTGAAAGCAGTAAAATTAACATCATAAAAATAACTAGCAGCAAAACTGTTCCACAGTAGAGGCTGACAAATTTAACTTTCACCTACATAAAAAGCAACAGTTTTGAATTCAATTTGCATTATTAAAAATTTAATTTTTCGTAATTATTTGAAGAAGTGCAATTTTGAAAATTACATCACATGCAGTAGACCGTTATATGTGCATATAGATATCCACTCTGTAGAGAAATAGAAATGTTAAATAATTTTTTAAAACACTTTTTTCGTTCCAGCTCCTATTTTTGGATAACTGTTCACTAATTATAAATTATAAATAAATAATTATAAATAGTGAACATAATTTTTTGTTGTTTTCGCTGAAATCGTACATTTTTACCACGTTGTTGTTGTTTTTAGCGGCTTGCTCAACTCCACCTATGAGTTGGGAAAGTTAGGCTATGCCGTCGTACTCATATACCGAAGGAACCAGGAAACCAGCTCTTTGCACGGTTTCTGACCAGAGGGAGAGTTCCTTTAGTTGAATGAACTTGAGTGGGTTAGGTGTATTGCCTTCCATGCAGGAAAGAGGTAAATTTTCAAGCAATCTTCTGCATGGATATCGAATCCTCATAAAACTTTAAGGTCCACACAAATCGATCATAAATCGAATATACCCAGCAGCCAACTCGCCAATTTAGGCACATAAATCCGATGATTTATGAAAATATATCGATATACCGAGTGGGTAAAAAGTTTCTCAAGCAATATAAGTGAATTCGATAGATTGATTGGTATTAATTATCGAAAAAAACGTTTAATTAGTTAGTCCAAAATGTCTATCTTTGGGATTATGTAAGCAAATGTCAAATTTCTCTGCTTGATATTTTTCTTTGATTATACCGTAAATCATATTTCAACTAAAATAAAAATAATTAAATGAAATAATCGAAAAATTGTTTGTAATGCTCTAAAAAGATTTCGTCATATGCATTTTTTTTGTAGAAAAATAAAATATATATGTCATTTCTATGTTTTGCTTTTGGATAAATTACTCTCCAATTTAAAACGAATCATTCAAAGAAATTGTAGAACTAGAACAAAAAACAACTCGAAAAAAAGTATTGGGGCCAACAGTAGTTTCGGAAATCACCAAATTTTAATGTAATTTAAGTTGTTCTGAAACTTATTGATTACTGGCTAACCTTAAAACCGGATGTTGGTAACAATCGATAGAAGACACAAAAAATTGTTTTGAGGCAAATTTTCCCTCCTAAAAATTATATTTTACTAATATACCAGAGACATATGGGATTTTTTGAATTAAATTAGTTTTGAGTGCAGTTGAAAATTAAAAAGCAATTGAAATAATTATAAATTTGCTAATGAACATGAAATGGTTTATTGATTTTGGTCCGAGCTATGTGAATATCAGAAGTAGAAGCCCTAGACCTATCAAAATTCATATCGATATGATCGTCTGTCTGAACGCAAAACTCAGAGATTAGAGTTTTTGAGACATTTGAACGAAATTTAGTAAACGAGTGCACTGTCAATCGTTTGTGGAAACCGGTCAAACGGTGGACTATAGTATATAAATCTAATAAAACCACTTGCTGAGGTTTGATAATAGTTCAGCATTAATTAGGTCACACATATAAATGCTATATTACCACTAAAAAATACAGTCCCATAAAACCGATTTGTTCAGGTATGTGATTTTGCATAAAAATCTATCAAAAAAGCTTCTAAGAACGTGAAATTTTATATTCTGAAATCATTGTACCATAGAATGTAGCGATTTGTTTAGTTTTTTGGGTAAAAAAAGGTATTTTAAAAAAGCATCCAAGGGTGTAGAATGGGGTATTCTACACACGCTAATTCAAATAAATATTGACGCCCAAAAACTTGAAAATCGGAAGATTTATATGATACCATCTCCCGTCCAATCGTTTTTACAGATATGAGATTTTGATCCAAAACGCAAAGAAAAGTGCAATTAGTAAATTTGATATGATCAAGAATGGTATAAAGTCTTCAGCAAGGCAAGGCCATTTTGTTTGTTTTTTCCCCTAGTTATATATGGGCTTTGGATATGTGAGTGCAATTTTTCTGAGCTAATAAACACGTCCTCCACTGTGTTTTCAACGCCACTGTACTTCGAAACTATGGAAGTAGTTAGAGTGCACAGCCTCTCAAAATTTTATTCACCGCGAAATCAAGAGAAATGTTTTGAAACTAAGCTTTTTTTTTTTAAATATATTTGTTTAATTAATCAGTAATTAATTATTTATTAAGAAAAATATGTTTATCCATAGCATTAATTTTTAAATGAATTATTTAAAAATGTTTAAACATATTTCTGACGTATGTACATGAAATTTAAATAAATTAAAATAAATTTAAAATTTTTATGAACTTATAAAATGAGAACTTACAACTTATGGATGGATCATTATTAACTTAAGATATAAAAAAAATTATTATTTTTTTTATTGATTTGTCTTTTTATGATTTTTTTTTTTTTATTTTAATCTCCTTGCGCAAAAGCGTAGATATATTTATATTTATTGTTTCTATATTTCTACATAATTTCCTTACAACTAAATTTTTAAACATTAATTCGGCTAGCTACGGTAGCATTAAGGCATATGAAATCGTTGATCGTACATCGATAAAGCTAAATCTTAATATTTATGTCATAAAAAATAGTTTTTTGTTTAAACGCTTTTAAAATTAAATATGAATACGTTGCTTAGAGTAAATTATTATAACGGTAAAAAAGAGGTGCAATGTGTATGTAGTCATATCGTTTGTGTTGCGTTTGTGATGATCAATTACTTTTATTGCTACATAATCTACTTAATTATCTACTGATACTTCGTTAAACTTCATAACTTCGCTGTGCGCCTTACATCGCCGTCTCCAAAGGCTGGCTATAGCTGCGATTGTTCGTGCTAAGGGGCACCATACTGGGCGATTCATCGTCAAAATCTGTCTCTAGCAGCGCCTCCGATCGCGAGCGATGATACGACGTCGTCGGCTCGGGACTGGCAGTTTGATAAAGAGTCTTTGGACGTTTGCCATTCTGATTGTGGCTTTGCGCTGTAAACGGCTTTGCCGTCGCCGTCGTTGGCTGCCTTGTATTGACAATTGCACGCGTGGTCTGCTGCGGCATTCCTATCTTCCGCTGCTGCAACTGTGGCTGCGCTTTACTACTACGCACTGCTGTGTAATATGAATCGGGGCGACGCATATCGGGCGGTGGTGTTGGCAAGCCATCAGCGCCAGCACCATGCCGATACAGGGGCATCTCCTCAGCCTTCTGTGAGATGGGTGTAAAATTTAAATTATCGATTTTCTGCTCATACGGCAGCGTGCTGGAGTGTGAGTCAGTGCTGAGTTGTGAGCTACTTGTGGGACGTGTAGATCCACCATTCGCGCTCCTACTACCGCCAGGTAGAAAACTACTGTGACTTTGTCCTTTCGGTTTGTTATAGGCAGGCGGTGGTAGATTCTGTTTTAGTTCATGCAGAAACGAAAGACTCTCGTTGCCTCCACTATGTAGCGGCAGTGTGCTTGCATTGCCATAATAATCTGAGTTAGCGTCTTCCACATCCGTCTGATGGATGATGGGCGTATCTTCGGCAATGCTGTTGGCTGCCGAATTGTTAACGGTACTAGCATAGGTGGAGTTGTCACGGAAGCCCTCATTGCGATAGGAGAGTTCAAAAGTGTCTGTCGGACGAGTGTGTCGACCCCGTGCCGTGGTCGCTTTCGAAATTGAGCCGATTGTGGCAATTTTATATGATTCATTCGATTTGCCAGCGCCGCCATTAGTGTTGCTCTTCAGCGTATGTTGACTCACATATTCATTGTAGTTCGGTTTCTGATATTCACCGGGCGGATGTGGAGTTTGATGCTCGTACGTCTCAAAGCTACCATCAGAGCTGAGCACACTCTTATCCATCGAGTCAATGGAGCCATTGCCCATCATTTTGTAGTCTTGCGCTTTGCTAAGCGTACCAGTCGATGTGGACATATTCTAATGGGCCAAAGCAAATTGGTGAGGATGGAAATGAAAATAAAATAAAAATGGTTGAAAGGGAAAATATGAATCAAAAATAAAGAAAATGTAAAAAACTTAAAATGTGATATAATAATAAAATTAATAAAAATATAATCAATATATTGGAGTGATTATGAATATAAATAAAGAATATAAAATAAAGAATTAAAAATAATAAATAAAAATAAGATATGGAAAAAACAATTAATAAACATATAAGGATCATACAAAGTTTCGTCGTCGCAACGATCCCTGCGGATCAATGCTATTCAAGCTCCTCAAGCTCTGTCGTATACTATTTCGTCGTTCCAAACGTTGCACGTGACGATGTTTCGATTTGGCATACCAACAAAAGGCGACCATAATCAATAGAATAATGGCCAAAATGAAGGCGGAGATAATGCTGATCGCGAAGATGTCGGCGCGCCATGAGAGTGGATCGATAATGACCTGAGTTGAAAATCAAAAAAATGGTCTATTCATTAAAGTTTCTGTGAAATGCAAACAACTGCCACGCACCCTTGGATCCGTTTCACAAATGAAACCCATTTCGCTGTTACAATCCTCCACTTCGGTGGTGGTGAAAGCAAAGCTCGTGCAGCGATCGATGTGATTGAAATCCTGTATCCACACCTTTTCGGGGTATCTGTAGAGAAAGTGAAGTTATTATTTTATATAGTTCACTAAAATTATACATACAATAATTAATAATTTTTTGTTAATTATATATTATTACTTTAAAATGAATTAATTTCATCATATTTTATTTTATTTTATATTTTCACATTTATTTTATTATTTAAAACATTTATTTTTTTATATTTATTTTCATTAATTTTTATTCATTTTAAATATTAATTATTTTATTTTAATTTAATTTAATTTAATTTTGGTTTGTTATTTTGTTTTAATTTGTTCATTATTGCAAAATTTTATTTTAATTTGAATTTATGTGTTTTTATTTTGTTCTATTTTAATTTTTATTTTTAATTTAAAGTATTTGCTTAAGTTTAGTTTAATTTTATTTTCTATTTTAATTCTTTCATAATATTATAATATATTTTGTTTTTTTAATTACATTTAAATTAATTAATTTTATTATTTTGAGTTTAGTTTATTCCATTTAACTTTTTTATTTAATTTAGTTTTTTTTAATTTTACACTTATTAATTACTTTTTTTATTTTGATTTATTTGATATTGTTTTATTAAATTTTTTAATTTTATTTATTTTTCGTTTATTTTATTTACCTTTTTATTTTTTAATTTTTTTTTAATAATCTTTATTTATTTTTTCTTCATTTGTTTGTTTCGATTATATTTTTTAACTTGCTTTAGTTTAAAGTATTTTCATGTGTTTTACTCAGAATTTTTATTTCGTTCTATTTTAATTTTTGTTTTTAATTTAAAATAATTTAGTTTAGTTTATTTTTATTTTATATTTAACTATTTGATTTCATTTTATTATTTTTTATTTGAATTCTTTCATAATATTAATATTCATTTTGTTTTATTTAATTACATTTACGTTACTAAATTAAATTATTTTCATTTAATTTTATTTGATTAATTAATGTAAATTTATTTTTTGCTATATTTTATTTTTTTAACTTAATATGTATTATTTTATTTAATTTTTTTTTATTTACTTATTTCAGTTTAGTCTATTTTAATATTTTATTTATTTATTTTGTCTTGTTTTATTTTATATTATTTTATTTTGGTTTATGTTACTTTATTTTAATTTAATTTAATTCATTTTATGTTATTTGTTTGTACATATTTTATTTTGTTTTATTTTATTTCCCTTTGAATTTTTTAAATAATATTTAATTAATATTTTTTTTTATTCTGAATTATTTGATTTATTTTGTTTTAGTTTAATTTTTTTGTTTTACTGTGATTGATTTTAAGGTGTTTTATTTTATTTTAATTTGTTTAATTTAATTTAATTTTAGTTTCGTTTTATTGTTACCTATTTTTGTTTTTATTTCAATTTTTTTTAATTTCTTTTTGTTTATTTTATGTTACTAACTTTTTTTATTTGTGTAATTTTATTTCAATTAATAGACTTTTTTTTAGTTAATTTATTTTATTTTATTTTGTTTAATACGTCTGTATTTTTGGAATGTGCTATATTTTTCCTTTTATTTAAATAAATTTAATTTTATTCAGTTTATATTTTATTTTAATTATTTGAATTTATTTTAATGTTAATTTTTTTTTGTAATTAAGTAATTTTTTTCGTTAATCTTATTTTTTTATAATTTTTTTTAGTTTATTTATTTCAATTGATTTTATTTTGTTTTTGCTTTTTTTAATTTCATTTGATTACTTACTTTTCTTTATTCTTTTAATTACTTTTTATATTTTTATAAAATTTTTTTTTAGTTTATTTATTTTTAATTAATTTTATTTTGTTCTTGTTTCTTTGATTTCATTTAATGTATTTTAAATTAATTTAATTATATTTCGCTCTATTTTATTTTATATTATTTTAATTTATTTACTTAAATATATATATTCTGTTTGATATTTTAATGTATTTCATTTATTTTTTTAAAATCCTTAATTTCATTTTTCATTAATAAAATTTTATGGTTATTTATTTTATTTTAGCTTTTTATTAAATTTTATTAAATTTTACTTTTTTATTTGTATTTATTGTCTTTTTTTCACTCACTTCAAATGTCGCATTTGTCCCTGCAAATATCTCCAAAATGTCGTACTGTCTGTGCGTATAAAAGGCATCGTCGAATTCTCACTGCGACAGAAGGCGCGTGCTTCATGGAACGTCAGTGGTGCGCCTACATATATGTAGCACGTATCAAGAACCAGCGACCAACCGGGCGGACATTTGCCATCGAGTATGGTGAGATTATTCATTTGGAATGGTACCGCCTGCACTTCGAGTAAGAGTGGATCATCTATAAGGAAATAAAAAAGTTAAGAATTTATAGCAAAATTATAGTGTCTTTCAGCGAGGACTCACCCGACTTATCACGTATACGTGATTGTACCGATATCGTATTGTTATAACTCCAATAATTGTGTCTAGCGTCGATCTTTGAGCGCCACAGTTCAATGGTGCTGTTAATGGGAAAGAGTAAGTTTTAATACTTTTAAAAATATAATATAAACACAAAATTCATTAAATAAAAATATATTTTAACTTACTTTTTTATTTAAATCTTATTTTGTAAACTTTACATTTAAAATTTTTTCTACTTACCTATTGATCACATAATCAACATTCAAACTACAACAGTTAGAGAAATAACGTGTGAGTATTTGTGTTTTTGATTTTACGTAGCATGCATAGGTACATAGTTCAGACACGGGCAATTGTAGTAGAAAGTAATAATGAAAAAAGTTTAAAAATAGTATAGTTAGCCATCATTCAATAGTGGATTTATAAATATATAAATATTTTTTTTGTGGGTTAAAGTTGAGAATTGTATATGTTTTAGTGTTAAAGTGTAAAGTATTGCAGATATTTTAATTATAAAAATTTGATTTTTTTAATTTTTTGCTTATAGAAAATTATTTAAAAATAATATTAGCGGTAATAAAAGTGAATTTAACTTTCAATTCTGATGACGTCCACAAAACTCAAAATATTTCTCACAAAATATTTTTTACAGTTTAGCAGAGAACTTAAACTATCTCTGGCTTAGTGAGCATACATAGATTGCTGCCTACTTTTAGGCGTACTATTTCGTGTAAACTGTGATATGTTGAGTTTTGTGTGTGTTGTAGATTGTAATCGCATTTTTTATTTATTCTTTATTTTTATCGTTTTACTTACATCGAATTATTCACCGTTATCATTTCATAATCATTTTCGGGATTCTCAAATATATTATCCACGTACTGTTGACCCGCGGTGCCAGCGACAATTGTCGCCCGACCCATCCAGTTGGTGGCGACGTTGCTGTGATTGGAAAATTTATTAAATTTTTTTTTTATTTATTTTTAAAATTAAATGCGATTTTTAAAAATTTTTTCTTCAACACTAATTTATTTTAATTATTATTATTTTTTAATATTAAAAGTATTTTCGAATGCTTTTCCTCTTTCTAATCCATATGGCTATGCTGACTGTTTAGAAACCTTAGCATACATCGCAGCAAGAATATTTTTCTCTTAAGAAATCAGAGGGATCGTTGGCTACATTTCAGCGCCAGCCAGAAAATCTTGCAAATTTCGCGACCGTTGCTGGGGGGGGGGGGGGGGTGGGCTCAGCCAAAACACTAATCAGTCCTTACCTGGATGGGGTTAACTCAGTGGCATGTCTAGTTCCAGTGCTGCGATACTCGGCTTGGACTTTAGGGCAACCAAGAGCTGTTACACCTTCAGGAGTAACGGGCAACTTGATCATTGGATAATTTGTAGCCAGGGGGCAATAGACGCTGTATTTCAAAGAACCTTCATGACATAAACGGATAAAAGTGCCCTTACATTTTCCCACACACCGTTCAAAAAAGCTGAACATAGCCAACATAGAGAGCACCACCAAGGAATAGTAGGAGAAGAACGTGGCGAAGAGATCACCCACTGGAGTCCAGAAGTATTGTACTTGTGGTTAGCGATGGTTCTGACAAACATAACGAAGATAGTATGACCTTTACTAGTTCTACAAGGGAAAAGGAGCTTTTAGCTGGGCTTATAATGAAGACCGAAGTTAGATGGATTGTTTTAAACTTGACACCTCGAAATAGGGAGCGTCTGGCATGGGCTAAAATCAGGGTAAAGACGAAGAAGAATGTTTCCGATCCCCCAACGGCAAGCCGGTAATGTCAATCATGTGGTGGTGGATAAAACCTTGATCCCTGCGATTCTTAAGTGGAGGGAAGTGGAGGGATGTTTTGGAACTAGAAGATGCTTTGGGAGAGACAGACGAGTCATCGTCGAAGGCAAATGCTTCCACGAGTCAACCAGCTCAATCCAACCTAATGTAACCGCGAAATCACAGTAGTCGAGTGAAATGTTATGTTCTAAATTTTTCCCTCTACTCACCTGTAAAACCCGTTATGTGACGTCGTCTGATAGATGGGCAAACGGACCTTCTCGAAACCGGAGATCTCCACAATACGGCCACCAGTATTGCTATGCACGAAATTATAGCTGAAATTCGACACCACTTGGCGCAGCTTGATGACATCCTTGAAGCCAGCTCTATTCTGAGCAAAGTAATTGCGATACAACTCGATCTCTTGATACGGCGATGACTGACGACCCTCCACGTACAAAGCGGGACGATTGCGATTGCGGAAGAAGAGATTGTGATGTATGAAACCGCGCAACGAAGTAGCAGAGCCACGTGAATCGGCTCGTATGCTGAGACCACCCTGATTATCCATGATCAAGTTGTTCTGCGGAAACAAGTAGAGTTACACCTTTTTTAGTTAGAGGGATTATAGCGACGATGAAGACTTACCATAAAGTAAAGCGAATGCATATTCTGCACATCCACCGTGAGCGCCGACTTGCAGGTGGAAAAGTTGCCATAAAGCTGATGACAGTTAGCCTGTATGCGATTAGAGGTGAGCGTGAGAGTGGGCGTAACCTCACCAGCAGAGGCGTACGTAACTGCGCCCTTCACGGCACCCGAGATGTGTGTGTAGGTGATGTTGTGTAGGGCATCGCGATCTTTGGGAGGGGAAATTTTCGATTGAGAAATATATTTTTACCATATCATTATTCTACTTACATTGCCCCAAAGTCGAAATGGGTACCGTTACAATCTCCGCTATAAAGCCATGGTACTCTGGTGCACCGCTCGCAATCAGCTGCAAACTCAGTGTGGGGCTTTCGGTCTTAAAGAACTTCCGCTGATTATCACTATCCCACTCGATATTGCCCAGGAAACGCGAAGTCACATTGTAGATGTCGCCATCGAAGAGTCGTATTCTATCGGTGCGTCCATACTCCTTCGAGTGATTGAACAAGTTCGATTGTAGCAAACGGAAGCCGATCGGTTTCGCACGATAAAGCGACGTGAAGATCTTGACGCAGTTCACCGGATTGTTGTCATACTTATAGTAGACCAAAAGACGTTCTTCGACGGTGAGCACTTTTTGCGGATCACAAATATCAACGAGTGAGAAGAGCTTATACGGAATATCCAGATCTTTGAGAGGTGTAAAGCTCGACTCATCACTCTCGCGTCCTTCACCCGTCAGCGAGAGTATATTGATGCCTGCGCCAAAGGCGTTACTGATGTTGAGAAGATTGAGGTTCAACGTGCCACTCGGCGCGATGTAATTAACGCCATGATGAGCTGAGTTCGCAATTGTCACAGAACGTATGGTCGGATTCTTGTGTATCGCTTGTATTGCTGGCGATTTCTGATTATGCAATATGCCCGCATTCTCAATGCGCACATACTCCAAATGACTTTGTCGATCGTTTATCGGTCCATGTGAGAGACTGTCATGGAAACGATGCCCATATTGATTCTCCTCAAAGTCTGCGTTCGTAAGGCGTATGCCACCCCAATAGACCAGATCCTCCGGCGCGCTATTGCAGCTCACGAAAACGAAAACATCATCCCAGCGACATTCGTGACGACGTCCATAAACTTGACCGTTGAGACGTTCGGCGCAATCTTCCATGCGCAACTCATCGCCGCGGCACTCGAGCGGTTGCACCCAGGTCCAGATGCGTGTGAGTGAGTTGGTGTGATATTCTATGCGTCGATCATGTCCATAGTAAACATTGAGTGGATCAAAGCCAAGCTCGCGACAGACCACCTGTGCATTACGCTCGGTGAAACGACTATCACAGATGGGCACCCACTGCAGTGTGGTATGATTGAAATACTCCAGGAAACCTGCGCTAATGCCGCCAAATGCGAGTTGCGGATTCGTGGTGCAGTTCTGTGCGCTCGTGCAAAGTCGTATTGAGTCGTAGGCTTGCGACTGGCTTAGATCTTCCATAGCGCGTTTCGTGAGCATGGCATACGACTCGTGAGAAGCATTCACGAATGGGCGCATAACAATTTCCGACTCACGATAACCGATGGCGCTGAGTGTGCCCAGTACGAGTATGCCAACATTCGGTTCGAACTCGAGCTGCACGCCATGTTGTATGTTGAGTGTGGCGCCCGGCATAACAGTGATATCGGCGAGTATGCGGTATGGTTCGGGTCGTTTATGCAGCGTTAGATCCTTGTAAACGCGCCCACCCGCCCAGCTGTTGAGGTCTATAACCTCGTCGTGTTTATCGATCAGCGAAACGCTTGCATCGAAACTATCCTCGATGAGGAAGGGCTGATAGATCACATCGGCGTGATCGTTCCAAGTGTCGAAATCGAATATCTTCGACTCAATGTACGTGGCGTCCTTTGAGCCCCACCAATTTTCCGTTGCATAAAAATAGTTATTTATGCGAGCGGAGCGTACACCTGCCACGAGATTGTAGTCCATTTGGTTTTCGGCGATTAAGTTACGATAAAGTCTCACATTTTGTATGCCGTCAAGTCGCACCACCGCACTGGGTAGACGATTCTGTGGACGTATTTTGCGTGGTCGAAAGTGACGCATTGGTGCCATACGGAAATTGCCCGCCATGGTGTCGATGCTGTTGCCCTTGATGGTATTGTAGGCGATGAGCGCTGGCACTTCACCTAAAATTTCGCTCAAACTGTCCGCACGTAGCTCTATAATGAACTTGGCATTGTTACTCTCGATGCGGTTGTAATCGAACTTGATGCGCTTCTCCATACCGTCCAGTGTAATGAGACTACGCGGGCACTGGTTGCTGAGGAAAACGTTGGAGGTTATGTTAAAGACCGTATAGTGCCCGCTGACGTCGATGAAAAAGTTTCGATTACGCTGCCAAGTGCTGTTGCCGAAGTAGACGCTGTGCGTGAAATTCTCATTGTATTGCCAGACGTAGGGTAGTGCGACCTGGAAGCCACCGAAAGCATTGTCCTCAACCGTGGTGTCTTGCACTACATAGTGAAAGAGATTATTAGAGGAACGTAAATCCTTCGAAAATTGGCGTATGCCGTGGCCATTCTGTGTGATCATCGAGCTGTTGACGTGGATGGTAACCTCCGATATGTTGCTGTACGTTACATCCCAGTAGGGCGACTTCACCAGTATGGCTTCACGGAAGTTTGAACTGATCTCCGAATTCAGAATCTTAATCGACTCGTTGGCTTTACGCAAGTAGTACTCGCCATTGTCGCCCACATAACGATTGTAGTAGTACGCGGCAATACCACGGAAGTTCTTCTGTATCTTCGTCGAACGTATACTGAGTGTGGGCACCGGTCCAGTCACGACTTTATTACGCATATTCTGCACTGGTGCGGTGACGGTTGAGAGCCGCAACACAGTGCCACCCAAAGCATTTGTGCCAGACTCGTAGTAGATGATGATGCCGTAACTGCTACTGGTCGTGGGAAATACATTGAGATCTCGCTTGAGCACCCACAACGAGGAACGTCTATTCTCCGTTTGTGAATCAAGTATGGTTATGTGCTCGGTGGAGAGATTTTGTATAGGATTGAGTAGTTGTATGCCCAGCACATAGCCGGCGGGACAGCGTACTACTATCTTGCGCATGACCGACTCACCACGTACCGGCTCGGTGCGTATATACTTATTCTGCCATGCGTCCAAGTCGATTTGGCTCTCATCGCGTGGCAGCAAGTATGGATCGTAGTCTGCTTCGAAGGAATTGAAGTCCACAGCCATTTTAAACCAGCCGCCGAGCTCATTTTGCTCGATCGCTGAGATCACGGGATCATGTGAGATGCCGCTATCGCGATTGTTCTTTATAATTGAACCCTGTATGCGCAGATCCAACTGCTTCAAGCTGATTCCATTGCCACGATTCCCTATGAATTCACAATTCTTTATATTGTTCACCGACTTACCTCCATATAGGTCCGCGTATATGACACCGAGACCGTCTTGCAAGTTATCCACAACACGGACATTCTCGAGATTGTGACGCGCAAAGTCCATTTGTATGGCGGGCTTGAAGATGTTGGTGGTATAGTCAAAGAGTCCGGCCTTCTCAATTGTCAGGTACTGTAAATCCGCACGCTCCGCCAACATGCTGAAGCGTACACCCGCCCAAGCGCCCTCATAGCAACGCATGCCGACATCGTTTTCGTGTGTGCACGAGTTCTCGAACTCACCACGTGTCAGATACTCGGCGCGGCACTTCGTTATGTCGAGATCGTGTTCGGTACAACGCACATTCGAAACAATCACATCCTCGGTGACACCCACAGTGGGCATTTGGGAGCGATGCAAACGCCAGTCGCGTGGGTTCAGTGTGTAACCAAGATGATGACACACCAAAGCTGCATTTAACACCGTCCAACCGTAATCGCAGACTGTGCCCCAGCGACCATCTAAGTAGACCTGTAAGCGGCCTTCGTAATCGCCCGCGCCACCAACGAGTCGCACCGGTACACGTGGCGATTCGTTTTTCTCGATGATGGATTCAGTCTCGACGTCGATAATATCGACATCCAGTTGCTCCACATCGGTGGAGTTGTCCATAGCAATAACAGTTTCACGCTTTAGCGTAAAAAATATATCATCTGGACGTCGGCCACGTGCCTCCAACTTGCCAGCAACCATCATGCCGACACTGGGTTCGAATTTAAGCGTTACGCCTGGTTGTAGTGTTAGCTTGCCGCCGGGTCTTATGTTAATGTCGTTTGTAACACGATAAGTGCCGGACGAGAGTATTTCTTGACCGTCGATCTCGCCGCCAATGAGATCGGAACCCTCCTGCGAGAAGCGTGGAACGAGTGTGGACATAGTGATCATAGTCGTGGAGCCGGGGTTCGAGCTGTGCAACAGGTATGGCAAGTACTGAATTTTAGCCAAGTTATAGCGATTATTGCGATGGAAAAGACGCGCAAAGATTTTATTTTCATCTGAGTGGCCCAACCAATTGTAGGTGGCATTAATGATTTGACTCTGATCGCTTAGCTGAGAGCCCACTTCGTATGCGGAGTCCAAGTTGTGTAGTATATTTCGAAAGATATCCACATTACTGGAGGAGACCACCACAGCCGCAGCAACACGGCAACGCGGATTAAGGCGTCCGGAGCCATCACTGCCTTCGCTACCCTCAATGAGCGGTCCAAAAGGTTCCGATATCTTGTTGTCGCGCACGAAATTACGCGTAAAGAGTAGTGACTGCAACTCGCGTGAGCTATACGGTGAGAGACCCAACGAGACAACATAGACGCCACTATTACGCCGAAAGAAATTACTCTGTATCAGAAGACGAATGGGCATAAAGTTGAATTCCTGAAATATGTAGTCGTTACGTATGTAGATCGAGCCATATGAGCCGAGCCGGAAGTGGTTGAACTCGATCTTTCCGTGTAAATTGAGTGCCGGACTGAGGAATATCGAGTTCTTCTGACTATAATCGAAGGTGTTGTGCCCGATTTGCAGCTGCATATTCGGTTCCTTGTTCGCCGTGAAGCGCCAGCAAGATTCCACGTGCACATCATTCCGCAGACTGCCGTTAAAGTTATTCCCCGTTATGTTGACCCAAATTGGCTGACAGTAGTTGCCATGCAGTATGCCCGTTTCCAGGTTGCCGCCGATTTTTGAGTATTCCACTGTTGTCGTCTGGTTGAAGGGTATATATTCTTGACGTTCTGGTGCGCTGGTGTCATTCAACCACACGGCCACACCGTAACCCTTATTGGCTTGGATCGTACTACGAGATATGTTCCGATTACCGCCGTAGTAGGTGATATTGACGCCACCGCCCTGATTGTAGGTGATGTTACTGCTCGTGATGTTCACATCTCCAGCGCCACTTGTCACATGCACGCCCGACACATGCCCATTACCCGAGACGAAGCTGCCGTGTACATGCAGCTTGGAACGTATATTGTCAATCGCTATTCCGCGCCCGCCGTTATCCTCCACAACAGAGTTCACCACGCGCAAGTCGTAAGCACGCGTATCACCGGAAGTTATCCGCATGAAGCCGTTGACCTCCTCACGTGCATCGGCTCGTACGCGTAGAAAGAGTTTCTCCCGATTACTGGTCACACTTTGCGGACGCGTGTAGTTGCGCGCCTTCCAAGTGAAGAGTATGCGATCCGTGTCCGATGTGCCATCGAAGATCTCCACAGTGGCCGTCCCATTGTTACGCAGCACAAACGACTCAAAATACACCGTTAGCAAGTAGCCTGGACGTGTGAAAAAGTACTTACTGCACACCTTCTCCGAGCCTGCGTAATATTTTTGTGTGAAAGATAGCGAAATGGGATAGGTCTGTCCCGAGGTGGTGGGTAGCGTGCAAAAGTCGTAAATAGTCGCACGATCCATACGTTCGTTGGCGCGCAGATCGTGACCCACATACTTAACGCCATCCGCCACATTCTGCATTATATTGCAACCCTCCAACTGCACCATACCCTGACTGGAGTTTACAAATACGCCTATACCATTATTTTTCTGTATGGTCACATTTTGTAGGACGAAACCGCTCTGCGGCAACGTTACATTGAATCCGGTATATGCGGAATGACTGATCAACACATGTTGCATGACGGGCGGTAGACCAATCGCCTCCAACGCAGACTTGGCGCTATACTCCCGCCCCACACCGGCATGAGTTATGTCAACATAACGCAGAGTCGACTGCGACACCGCTGTGTAAACGATATTATCATAGCCCAGTGTCTTTGTGGACGGCGCATTCATAAAGTAGATCCCACGCCAATTACCGAGAGGTGTATCGTGCACCGGCCGACATTGTATGCCTATGTCATTGTGGTAGTCACAAACGCCAGAACCGAGTTGACGCGTCGACCACGCGCAGTTCAACAACGAGCTCTCAACACCTTTGCAGCGTGGCTGTTCATAGAGTAAACGTGGATGATACCCCGGCGTACGTTCAACCCAATTCCAAAAGCGTCCACCTGCATAGCCCATTTGACGGCAGGCAATCTCATAGTCCGTAAGTGTCCAACTGGTTGGGTTAGAGGGAATGTAATTAGATTTTCAGTGTTTTTAATGTAATGAATGGTACTCACTTTCTGGAATTAGTGCAGACATCACGCCAAAAGCCTTTATGATACAGCTGCAGTCGACCTTCCAATGGCGTTGGGCCATCGACTAAACGTGCTCCACGCACCTCAGCATCTACGATATCTGTTTGTGTGGCTGCTGGTTTTACTTGGGCCGTTAGTATGATGCGAGATGTTGGCGTGCCCTGGAAAGGAAACGGAAGAAGAAGAAGTTTCATAAGATAACACTCTTAGAAATTGGGAGTGAAAATGATTAAAGGATTGCAGTAGGCAGTCAGCTATGAGGGGGTAGGCAAATTCAATGCAAATCACTGCTTTAAGATGGAAAGTCAAAGCTCCAACTAATCTAGACAGCAGGATATGAAGTCGGTGTGGACTTGGGGGAAAGAAAACCTTTAACTTCAATCTCTGGAGGATCCTTGCTTGAGGAAGGTAGTACACTTGCTTCATTAGACTAACAGACGAAAGGATATTCAGGCTTTACATGAAGCTAAGCCCGAAACATAACCTAAAGCAATATCTTTAATAATTTATCCAGATAATCAGATAGTCTTTGTTTTGAGCAGTTATAGAAAATATACACGAAACGTATCATTTCAATATCAGTTTGGAACTACTTAAAGATTTTTCAGCGCTTGCTCTGATTTATTTCTAGAGAAGATATAAGACTTGGTCTTTTGGGGAAGGTTTGAGTGAAGAGAAAAAATGCCTACCTTTCAGCGTTGGAATCGACCTGAACGCGTAGTGTGCGAGACAGACACTGAGAGTTGGAGAGGCAATAGTGCTAAAGCCCTTGACTATGACGAGCTATTGAAACTGCCAGCTATCAGAGTGGATGCTCGAAAGTTCTATGAGAAAATTCGGCAACTAACAGCAGGTTTCTAAACCGAAGCATACTTAAGTAAGACCAGAAGAGGGGATCTGGTGACCAATGCTCAGAATATATTGAGTTTATGGAGAGAACACTTCTCCATTCTACTGAATGAAAGTGAAATATCCGGAGTTGATTTCCATTCGATGACGATGGAACAAGCTTGCCATCAACCGACTTTGATGTCATCCGAATAGCAACTGCCCGTCTAAAGAACATCAAAAGAAGCAGGTGGCTTACCGGCTGAGCTATTCAAATATGACTATGAAGTACAATACTAACCAAGCGCAGTTTCAGTTTCTTTGAAGAAAAACGGCCAGACGAAAGCATGTTGGGAACCCTGTTCTGCCCAAAATTTGCGTGAAAAGCATCCTGAATATCGTATATGTGGTCCCATTGCGTGTATTGTATGAGAGACTAAAGTCCACCGTCTACGAACTGTTTCGACTTTATCTGTGTGGCTTCAGACTACTGAAATTTATAACTGACAAAAATGTATAGTGACCAGGCCTCGGAAAATACGTTTGAGAAAAGAATCGCCACACACAACTCTTTCGTCGGTTTTGAAACAGTCTTCGGTAGTAAGAAAAGAAGAAGCATCTATGCCGCTATATATGGACTTGGTATAACTGCAAATCTTATACAGCTGTGTAAACCGGTGCAGATTAGCTCCAAAGACTCCGCCAGACTTGGGTAGGATCTCTCCAAACCGTCCAGACCATGTCACTCTTCATCAAGCCACACGATCTTTAAACTGGAGAAAATAACCAGAGCAGCCGAACGCAAAAGAGAAGGTAGCATCTTCTATAAGAATGTTCAACTACTGGCGTATGCCGCTGATATCACTGACTTTGACAACCGCATTCTGATTTCTTTAAATTGGATAAGGAAGCGCGGCGAATTATAATATATACATATATAATTGATGCTTTGAAACCGCTGAAACGATTTTCCGCCGAGCTCCTTCACCAATTTGTAGTTTTGCGTCTTGATGCTTTTCCAACAAATGGAGGGACCCCCAGTTTATACTAAGCCGTCTTCGTACGGCGAGGGGTTTTTTACGAGGAGGTTAACCACTTGGCTACTGCGGCGAATTGGTCTGGCAAAAAATGAGGTAAATATGAAATATTCATAACTTCTTTATTTCAGTCATTCTGGTCAACCGTTGCTCTTTTGGACTGAATACACAATTAAAAATTATGAACTAGAGGAGTAAGCATTTTCGGGATAAAGGTTGGAACAGACATATGTTGGAGGTTGGAGACCGGGTTTCACTTAAAGTTTACGATTGACGCCGATTGGCGGAAAAGAAGAAACCTTATGTTTTGCTAAAGCCAATAAAGGAGAAGAAGGACAAGATGAATGACTTCTTCAGGGTTACTTTCTTACATATCCGGATTGATTTCGTAGTACGTATAAGGCTAGTTTTAAAGAATATTGAAACCCATTTTGGTTCAGAATTTACTCAATAATTTCTCCCGGCAAAGAAAGAGTGCTTTCTTGTATGATCTTAAAATCTTATTGGAACCATATTAATCATGTAATGGACCTTATGAAACCAATATTGATGCAGTTTTTCAGTTTTTGACATATTTCTATGATGACACAAAAATTCTATGAAGTAGTTGCACTTCGAAAATGTTGACAGTGAACGTGTTTGGTCAGAATTGCTTGATCATTTAATTATTCTTCCAAGCAGATGCTAAAATATTGAATAAACGTCTGGATCGATTGAAACATTTGTCTCCAGCCGTTTTCCTTAAGCGGCAGAAGCAAGAAAATGTTTTACTAGATAGATAAATAAAAAGGAAATTAATTTCCTGAACCGGTGAGAGGAATCTTCATCACAGAACCAACTTATGTAGGTATCATCAAGAGGTCAGGGTTCCGTGATCGAGCAAGCTGTTTAACTCTAACTAACTGAGAAAAGTGAAAGCAGCACACTTGTAGATTAATGGGATAGTCATTGGCTCGTGCTGTGGGCATCCCAGGTTGGAATCCAATTCGAAAAAAGGTGACTGAAAAAAGAAATCTAAAGAGGAGAGGTGCTGGTTTCCGAAATAGCAGCTAAAGGGTGATTTTTTTTTTTTAGCTATTATCTCTTTGGCATCACTGGTCACGCACGTTTCGTTTTTTGAATCACGGTCAACCATCTTCATTTTGGTCTATAATTAGCCATGAATCGTCTTAAAAACAAACAACTCTTGCAAATTATTGAATTTTATTATGAAAATGCGTGCTCTGTTAAGAAAGTTCATCGCGCTTCTTCCGCGCCTGCTTCGGCTTAATGTGTACAAAAATAAGCAGAGTTGTGATTGTGGAGTGAAGATCAGCCAGAAGCATTGCAAGAGCTACCAATGCATCCAGCAAAAGGCACAGTTTGGAGCTGGTGGCATCATTGGACCGTACTTCTTTAAAGATGGTGTGAATCGTAACGTAACTGTGAATGGTGAGCGCTGCTGTGAGATGATATCAAACTTTTTATTTGCCCAAAATGCAAGACCTTGACTTACATGACATGTAGTTTCAACAAGACGGTGCTACATGCCACACAGCACGCCTAACAATGGACTTATTGAGAGGCGATTTCGGTGAACATTTTATTTCACGTTCGATACCGGTCAATTGGTCGCCTAGATTGTGCGATTTAACGCCTTTAGACTATATTTTGTGGGGCTATGTTAAATCTAATGTCTCTACGGACTAGCCCGCTTCAATTGACGCATTGGAGGATAACATTAAAGCATTTATTTCTGAGATGCCGACCGAAATGTTGGAAAGAGTATGCCAAAATTGGACTAAGCGGATGGACTATTTGAGGGGCAGTCACATTAAACCTTTGCATGAAATAATCCTCAAACATTAAATTATATGGACCGTACTATCGATTCAAATAAAGATTTCATGCATTTTTCTGACTTTATTCAAAAGTGTTTGGAGGTTTAATCGACTAAAACGACTTTTAGCGTAATTATGAGGTTTTTACAACGAATTTGCACTGCTCTAAAAACCACCATTTATTAAAACAACACAAAAGTTTCTTGAGAACTGTGAGACCGAGTTGCTTTCAAACATAGATAATCCTATAGCAAATCCAGCCAGCTCCGGGTACACTTTCATTTACAGTATCTGTAGCCGATCCTGTCTCTTAAGATATTTTTGAAATTTTGTCAATTGCTTGAGGATTTGGACGATTATGTGTCATAAGCAAGAAACGTGACCCCGTTTGAGTTGTGCGATTGCCAAGCCATCTATTTTCTTATTTGCCTGAATTTTAACTAAAATAAAACATCTTTGGTTTGACAGTTAAGTTTGACAGATGTCAAAATACAGTTCTATAATTTTGAAATCTCGAAATGGATAACCCTATATAAAGACTTCGGTATGGCCGAAGGTAGCTCTTCTTTCTTGTTCCATTTAATAGAATAACAGTAATAATATTAGATAAGTGAATAAGTAAATAAATTTGAAAAAAATTTAAATGGACATAAATATATTTTGTCTAAAATTTATTTAAATATTTTTTTATTTTATTTTTAATTCTCTTTGTAGTAGGCAGATTAATAAAAACCTATTTATAATTTTCATTGCTTTTTTTAATTATTTCCTTAACATTTTCTCATACTTTCACTTTTATTTACGAAAATTACTTAAAGTTTTCCTCACGAATTTACTAATTTTGTATGAAATTTAATTTTTATTTTTTTATTTTTGTAAAAATTTCAATTAGCGTTTATATGTATGTGTGTATTTTCTTTTTTGCTAATTTAAATATATGTTCATACAGTAAGTCATGAAAAAACAACAACTAATAATAATATATAATAACAACAATAATAAGTGTTGTTAATTTGTCATTAACTCATTGATGCAAGTTCACAAACACAAGCATACATAGTTACATACATACACAAGCATACAAGCAGACATTCATTCATATGTACACTGAACAAATGATGAAGCGCCGAGCACTTTGAGACAAACCAACTCCTACAATAACTTTTTTTGTGAATACCTAAGCTAACAACAACAACAACACCAAGTAGAAGCAACAACAACAGGAAAATTCACCAACCAACCAACTAATCTAATTAACCCAACGTGACCCAGTGGCCGTCTGGCAAGACATTCGCTGACAACAAAAATGAAAAAAAATTAATTATAAATAACAGTAATGAAAAAACCATCAAATGAATTACAATAACAAAAACACTGTAGCGCATTAACGCTGAAGCAAAGAAAGATCTGCTCACTAATAGGCCACGAAATGGGCAATAAAAATATGAATAAATATATATATATATATATATATAT